CTCGGTTGTACTTGTGGACTTGACGAGGCCTAGGTAGGAGTCGACCCCGCTGGGAGTGAGAGATTGGCATGTCAGACTACCTTGAATCATTGCCTCATGGTCTAGCTTCTTTGATATTGCAAAAGTTGACTGAACTTGGTCTTTGGATAACCTATCACCCCCAGGTATGTCGAGAATACTGCGTACAGCTATGAAGTTTTGCTCTCCTGGCTATGTCTCAAATGCAGGTTATGTGATAGTTAGACCCACTACCCGCCACAGACGCATTTAGCTTAATACTCAAGGCTTTTTTTAAAATCATTTAAGTGTATTCAGCTATAGAGATATGACATCTGAGTAATATTCCAGGCTTAAATATCTTTGTTTAAGGTCTACATCTACAAGGGTCATAACTCATGATCCGTGGAGATTCAAAAGTACCGGTCAAGAATCACTGTTGATATAAATGCGCACGCGCAATCTCACTCTTTGTTTTCCAAGTTTGCATTTGACTGTACATCTAAATTTAATTGTTTTTGTAACAGTGCAAGGGAAATAATATCTGTGTAAACCTTAATCCTTGCATATCCTATGTTAGCCCTAATAAGCGAGCGACGCTAAATGGGTTGATTTATGGGTGAAACACTCTAGACTTGGTATGGGTGTGCAATTTTTGTATTAGATTTCTCTATACCGAGTAAGAGTAATATAACTTCACCTTTGAAGAAGGATTTTAATAGTTTTCACTCAAATAAGCCTAACTGTATCGGTCCAACCGCCGACACCCGTTCCGCACGAACCTCCATCTGAGCTTAACCTGATAACTTCAACCAGCTTTTGAAAATTATTTTACCACCAGTTCGTAGAGGACACCGCAGATAGGTATTCAACCTTTGACATACATGCTATGAACTTGAGCCACATGCAATGCCCCAAACTGAACTAATTAATTGTCTCACACTATAACAGTTTTGGCTTCATTAGGTTCTTAACCGCTCCAACGTGTTTATTTGGCGTCTTTAGGACATCCTCCACTTCCATTATCAGTACTCAGACTTTGTACACCCTTGATTTCTAGAGGACATCACTCATGCCAGTAAGGTAATCATTTATAATCTCTTTACTGAAACATTCTCTATCTTGATGGAAGGGGACTATTCTCAACACCTATCAGTGGTGTCCCCTATGAGCCAGCAGCTCTCACTGGAGAGTCTGCAGAGCCGATATTGAGTAACAAAGTCCTCACTTCGACGAGGATTCCCAATCGCTTTTGCGGTCTGTATCGTCTTCATCTCTCAACACATTCCCCTATCACCATTATCATGAAGCTTACCACGATCCGATCAGATGTCAGGGTCGGAGCCCTTCTCGTTACCAACACTTAATTATGGGGTAGAAGCCATAGGATGGGTTTCCGGAGCGTGCCCATCATCCGATACGGGCGTGGTGGATTGGATCAAGGTGGCCTCCAATGTCACAGAGAAGGGAGATATAGATGAATATGCGCACCTCATGTGGTCCCGGTGTCTAGGCCTCGCCTGGCTGGGGCTTCAGGTTTTCTGAGACTTTTTCTCGCGCACGCAGTTTCCATTGCTACCTTTTTTTAATGTTTTTTTAATATTTTTTTTGGGTAGAAGGTTCCGTGGAAAAGGTGGCCGAATTCCATGGGTAAATACTGAACTGAATAGCTATTCATTACGGGGAATATATCAATAATCTTTCAAGAAACATGAGAGGCAAGGTGCACTGTACCAGGTATGGCCTGGGTCAGAGAGGAGCCCTATGTGCTAGCTAATCCAAGACTCAAGTAGCACAATAAACACACACAGGCATAGTTATCAGCTTGCGGTGCACTTCTTGAAGATCACAGCTCTACTTCAATAGACTTCTTTTAAGATTTTGCTACCATGTTACCAAGAGCAATTCCAAACTAACTGCTATACAGGTAAAAGCTAAGGAGGAGCAATTTAAATTCAGTCATCTGTCATACACTTCTCTGAAATTGTGTCAGAGATAGATAGCTGTATACGCAATTAGAATCTGATGCAAATTAGCAAAAGGTTTCACAATGAGTTAAAATACTGTGAGGATCTTACTCCTCTATGATTGGTGGTTTGTCACCCGACACCTGTGTGATTCGAACACACGCTCCCGAGGGAAATGCCTGTGCAGAGTAGCAGGGCATCGCGTTAACCACTCCGCCAAAGTGCCCATAGATTATTTCGTTATTTCAAGTTTATATATATAAATTCACAAACCAAAATTAAAGAGGACTGTCAGATCCATCAAGATAAAGAGAGTTGTGTTTATTGTGCTACTTGAGTCTTGGATTAGCTAGCACATAGGGCTCCTCTCTGACCCAGGCCATACCTGGTACAGTGCACCTTGCCTCTCATGTTTCTTGAAAGATTATTGATATATTCCCCGTAATGAATAGCTATTCAGTTCAGTATTTACCCATGGAATTCGGCCACCTTTTCCACGGAACCTTCTACCCAAAAAAAATATTAAAAAAACATTAAAAAAAGGTAGCAATGGAAACTGCGTGCGCGAGAAAAAGTCTCAGAAAACCTGAAGCCCCAGCCAGGCGAGGCCTAGACACCGGGACCACATGAGGTGCGCATATTCATCTATATCTCCCTTCTCTGTGACATTGGAGGCCACCTTGATCCAATCCACCACGCCCGTATCGGATGATGGGCACGCTCCGGAAACCCATCCTATGGCTTCTACCCCATAATTAAGTGTTGGTAACGAGAAGGGCTCCGACCCTGACATCTGATCGGATCGTGGTAAGCTTCATGATAATGGTGATAGGGGAATGTGTTGAGAGATGAAGACGATACAGACCGCAAAAGCGATTGGGAATCCTCGTCGAAGTGAGGACTTTGTTACTCAATATCGGCTCTGCAGACTCTCCAGTGAGAGCTGCTGGCTCATAGGGGACACCACTGATAGGTGTTGAGAATAGTCTTCTGAATTCAAGGCAAATATTGCGCTACCAAATAAGACGGTACCATAAAAAGTTTTGGGGACCCTACAATGAATATCGATGAAAGATTTGGTAGCATACGTTTTATAAGTGGAACGTGCGAGTACAAAGTATCAAAAAAATGTTCCATTGAAGTTTAACCTCTAAAGGGTCTTACGAGTAGTACGATGTGGAAGGTTACTTCAGAATATGAGAGAATTGAAAATTTTAAAATTTACTATCGGGTGGATCAAATCAATCCTTGAAGGACGCACTTAGCGCATTCGATCTGAGGACATGGTAACTTTTCCAGATCTTCTACAACGCATGCTCTCAAAAAGGTTTTCATTATCCCCAGTCTTATTGATCCGCATTTAGGAGCCTTGGAAGTCAGTAGATGAGGGTGCAATTATGCAGAGAAAGCGGCTGTACAAGACTTTCCCTAAGCCCCAACGAAACGGCGACAGTCTTCCAACAATGGATCTCTGTGCTCCAAAGATATGCCGCTGAACACCTCTCAACGCTTGAACAAGAATAGAGTCGCAGTGGTAAAAAATCCATAGTCCTAGCGTTAGAAGATAAGAGCTTCCCATGATAAGTGCAAGCAATCTTTAGACTTAAGAATCCGGAGAATCATGATCACACGGAGTGCATCTGGATCGTGGACTGATCTTCAAGAATCTGCTATCGAACAGCCCGTTAAAGGAATGCAGCGCGTGCAACGCTTTATATTTTATTACTTAATGTATTTGATGCCGTGTATATATATTTGTGGAATCCATTGATTTCAGAAATATTTATGGCGTAGATTTCATTAGCAAAAATCTCGAGGAAGTATGTTTGTTTGCACTGAACAGTTGGGCCTGCATCGTGATTACCTACCAGAGAGAAAATACATAACCTGTAATCATCCCGCACAAATTTGTCACCATGGACGCTAGCACCGCGAGGAATGATATCGAAAAGCGCTAAATTCGAGGTAGTGATCTTCTACCTCAAGTAGGATAGGAGTCCAATCTGTTGAGACTCTGCTTGTTAGACAAGTTGGGATGATGTATCACAATTCTGTTGAACCATGACAGTGTTTTTAAAGTGTCACATAAATTCCCGAGAACAAAGCCTTGATGCGTTCGTTGCTCTTCAATGTTAAATTTCCCCAAAACCTAATTTCAACTCCTTTCGTAATTACATCCATCATTTTCATCATCTTGTATATCTTTATTGAGCTCTCTCACATCTACTCAAAAATCCGCCTCCCAAATTTTGGTACTATGATTTTTGTAATCCCATGGGTATTCATGTGCATGTGGGGATGTATTTGAAGACTAGCTAGGGCTAGAGACCGAGTCGATAAGGGTTTTGGTTATTGAAACGAGGACAAACTAATTCGTAACCCCAGGTTCAACAAGGCTTTGATGAGATGATATCTCGTTGAGTGTGAGAGATAAATGTGGTTTAGATTTTTGAGTCATCTCCTCGTAGGTCAACTTATTCGGTATTACAAAATTTGACTAAATTTGGATTTAGGAGAATCTTTCACCTCCAAATACGCAGGGAAATTTTGGACGGTGTTCATTTTTTGACCTCTATGCATAAGCCCATAGCGCCCTAATTTTCGGCCGATCCCAAATCTCTAGAGGGGTAGATATTTCTTCGTAGTTAGACCTGGAAACGGTGTCATGGGAGCACTGTGCCAGGTAGTTTTTTTGATTTTTCCTAGCTACCCTTACGCACTAAAATTTCTTGATCGTTTGTTAGAGAGGAGGTGATGTAGGACTAAGAGCACTCCTGAGCGTGCGATTGGATGAAGGCGAGCTGGTTGAGTCACAAGTATATGCGAGCTTTAGAGAAGTTATGTGTGCTCTATGTCCGCAGATAGAGGCGAGTGCATTTCTTGTGAAGCTACCATTCATATACATTAACTATCGCACTCTGTTACCTCGGATCGATGCATGTGTGTGAATGGGTCCAGCCCACGTGATAGCTGGCCAATGCGCAAGACCTGAGGCCGTCATTCATGTTGGGTTTGCTTTTTCACGGGAGGTAAACATCTTATTTTACCGTAAGATTTAAACAAGCTGCCCTGGAATTCAACAATCGAGAAACAAGCCATTTAGTCGCTCTTTTTTTGGCACCTAGCAACGTTATGGCTAAGCAGAACACCATGTTTCGCTCAGCGGACATGAGCATGGTGCAGCTGTACATCTCGAACGAAATAGGGCGAGAGATTGTTAATGCCCTGGGAGAAATTGGCCAGATTCAGTTCAGAGATGTTTGTGCCCCCCCTATTCTTATCCACATATAATTGCGGTAATCCAGATTTTTAACCTACCTTGTTACAGTTGAATTCTGAAATTACGGCTTTTCAACGGACCTTTACTCAAGAGATAAGGAGACTTGATAATATCGAGAGACAGCTTCGTAGGCCTCACGCTGGTTGTAACAGAAAACTTCTGACAAGTCACCAGGCTACTTTTACTCACAACTTTCTCGAGCAGAAATCCCAATAAGAAAAATTGATCTTGACGTCGACAATTTTGCTGCCCCATCAACATCTGAGATCGATGAACTATCTGATAGAAGTCAAAACCTTGAAAAGCGTATCTCTTCCCTCAATGATAGCTATGAGACGTTGATGAAGCGGGAAACTGAACTCACTGAGTGGCGTTGGGTTTTGAGAGAAGCTGGCGGCTTCTTCGATAGAGCACACGGAAATGTCGATGAAATTCGGCGAAGCAATGACAATGATGATGCTCCACTACTTCAAGATGTTGAACAAAACGTACAAGCCAACGCTGCAGAAGGGGCCCCAGATCGTAGCTTCTCTGTCATGAACATTGGATTTGTCTCCGGTGTCATTCCTCGGAATAGAGTCGCTGCCTTTGAAAGAATATTATGGCGCACCTTGAGAGGAAACTTATATATGAATCAGTCTGAGATCCCAGAAACTCTTGTGGATACAACAAATAATGAAGCTATTAATAAAAATGTCTTCGTTATATTTGCGCATGGAAAAGAGGTACTGGCCAAGATTAGAAAGATATCGGAATCTCTCGGTGCAGGCTTATATCATGTCGACGAAAATAGTGATTTAAGACGTGATCAAATTCAAGAGGTAAATGCTCGCATGGAGGATCTTGGAAATGTTCTCAGCAACACCAAGAAAACTTTGGATGCCGAACTCACTCAAATTGCTCAAAGTCTTGCCGCCTGGATGGTTATAATCAAGAAAGAAAAGGTCATCTACCAAACACTTAACATGTTCTCATATGACCATGCCAGAAAGACTTTGATTGCTGAAGCATGGTGCCCAACAAACTCCTTACCACTTATTCAATCTACACTACTTGACGTCAACAATCGAGCTGGGCTCTCAGTGCCATCTATTATTAACGAGATTCGAACAAATAAAACACCGCCAACTTATCAAAAGACGAATAGGTTTACTGAAGGTTTCCAGACTATCATTAACGCCTATGGAACCGCCAAATACCAAGAAGTTAATCCAGGACTTCCAACCATAGTCACCTTCCCATTTTTGTTCGCAGTCATGTTTGGAGACATGGGACATGGCTTCTTTATGTTCTGTGCTGCAGCTGCCATGATCTACTGGGAAAAACCCCTTAAAAAGGTACGAGATGAGATATTTTCAATGGCATACTACGGAAGGTATATAATGTTAATGATGGGACTCTTTTCCATGTACACCGGGCTAATCTACAACGATGTCTTCTCAAAATCTCTCACACTTTTTCCAAGTGCCTGGGAATGGAAAATTCCAGAAGGATGGCAGGAAGGACAAACGGTTGAAGGACAGCTTAAAGGCAGCTACCGATACCCCTTTGGCCTTGACTGGATGTGGCACGGTACAGAAAATGACCTTTTGTTCGCAAACAGCTATAAGATGAAGTTAAGTATCCTAATGGGGTGGTGCCACATGACGTATTCACTATGTCTATCTTATATTAATGCTCGCCACTTTAAAACACCCATTGACATCTGGGGCGTCTTTGTTCCCGGAATGATCTTTTTTCAGGCCATATTCGGGTATTTAGTTTTCACCATAATTTTCAAGTGGTGCATCGATTGGTATGCCATCGGACAGTCACCTCCTGGACTACTTAATATGTTAATATACATGTTTCTGTCCCCTGGCACTATAGAGGACCCACTCTACGGAGGCCAGGCAGGTGTACAGATTTTTCTCGTTCTAATCGCCGTCTTCCAGGTTCCGATTTTGCTATTTCTCAAACCATTTTATCTTCGTTGGGAACACAACCGTGCTCGAGCTAAAGGTTACAGAGGCATCGGTGAACGTTCTCGAGTCAGCGCCTTAGAAGGGGAAGATGATGAAAGCAACAATTATGGTGGTAGAATAAGCATGGAAAGCGACGACGAAGATTCTGGCCTCGTAGCTCGTGATAATGAAGACGATGAACATGAGGAGTTCGAATTTGGGGAGGTTATGATTCATCAGGTCATTCATACAATCGGTAAGGATCACTCAAATCCCTGTATTCCTGATACGACGCACACTAACCAAAAATAGAATTCTGCTTAAATTGCGTATCCCACACAGCCTCGTATCTGCGGCTTTGGGCACTTTCACTTGCTCATCAACAGCTTTCTGTCGTTCTATGGAGTATGACCCTTGCCATTGGTCTTAGTGGCAAAACTTCTGGAATCATCGGAGTCTTTACCCTCGTTGTAACATTTTTTGCTTGGTTCTTTCTCTCAATAGCAGTCCTAGTTGTCATGGAGGGTACGAGTGCTATGCTGCATAGTTTGCGTCTTCATTGGGTAGAAGCTATGAGTAAACATCTAATGGGGGATGGAATTCCGTTCGAGCCATTATACTTTAAGCAGATGCTCGAGGAAGACGAAGCAGCTGCTGAAATCAGTTAAATTTAAACTGTTATATCGACGGCAACTAACTTGGCCGCATAATTTTTAAAGCTTTCAAGAGTACTTTTCTGAGGCCCTACAGTCCTCAACTATTACATTGTCTCTTGTAGAGTTTGTAACAAGATAATAAAATTGATATTTCCTATTCAGTAAGTATCTACTGTGCCTCTAGCATTAATATTAGTTGAAACATAGAGAATACCGTAACAAAAATAACCGACTATATTTTCGTTCATTGTGACTCATGGAAACTTGGGAATGTAAGATGAGCGAAGTTTTAGCCTTGGGCACGACCTTCAAGTACTGGATGATACGTCGTGATGGTTTTACGTGTGGAAGCTCATTCATTGGTGAAACTTTGACTTGATTACGCAACATGTGAGGAAACCTTTTGTTATCCCTAACAGGCCGCAAGACGTGCATACTGCGAGGTGCTGATTAACAGGACCTGCTGAGTGATTAATCGCAGCATAAGTATGCCAAATATAGACAGTGATTTTAACTTCCGCCCCATAGTGAAAGGAGCCCCCAAGAAGAGATATTTTAGGCCTGCTCCTCCGCAATTTACTGGCTCATACCCACATAATCACGATAGTTGTCGGTTCTGTTTGAACAGGGCTTTTGGAGCTGACCATTTTGTTACAAATATCTTACGCGGGATTGTCATAACAGAGCTACAAGCAATCATTTTCTAACCTTTATTACCTCTTGACGATTCTACGAAATACCTCGTTTATTGCACTCTTTTAAGAAATTTAAGACTGGCTATTTATCCAGCCCTTCAACCTACCCTCATATCTTACTATTATCCTTCCTATTACAAATATCCTCCTTGTTATTAACAACAGACAAAGATCTAAACCAACTGTCTCTGGACTAAGTATCAAGATGTCTTTCAATAACCGTAAGTTTAGTATGAACCGATCCACCGGAACACCGCGAGTGAGTGGTATGAGAAGATACAGCCAGAATGAGACAAATACTAACGGTAAGTCGAGATAAATCTCATTCCACATTGAATCGATATTATAGCTCCGATTGGACGATAAAGATCCGAATAGTTTCTTTTGGCCGGGCCCTAGAACCTGAGCTGACTATTATTGTTTAGAAAACGACTCAAATATTCATCAACAATTTAGAAATGCTCACGAGGGGCATAAACCACACGCTGGGCTCGACCCTACTCGTGCTTCTACGGGTGTGATCTGGTGCACGGAACGTGCATATGAACACGGCTTTCTTGAAGAAGTTGACAAGTGGGCGAATCTAGGGCAAGGAGCCCCCGAAGTAGAGGATGAAATTAAGGGTTCTTTTGATCGACCTCAAACCATTGATATTACTATGGCAGGACGTGAATATGGCCCTACAGCAGGTATTAAAAGTTTGCGGGCAGCTGTAGCGAATCTTTACAATTCTCACCATCGCAAGGGCAAGGAGAGTCAGTATAGTTGGGAGAATGTCTGCATCGTTCCAGGTGGCCGGGCAGGATTAATCCGTATCGCTGCTGTATTGAATAACGCATACCTGGGATTCTTTATACCCGACTACACGGCGTACAATGAGATGTTGTCATTATTTAAAAATGTAAGTCCAATACCATCATTCTTGAGAATTATGGTCACGGTATGAGTCAGAGGAGCATGAGACAGGTGGAAATTTTATCGCATGGCTCGCTAACGAAACCAGTTTGCTGCAATCCCTTCCCCCTTGGAAGAGCAAGACGGTTACCACATTCATCCAGACAAGATTGCCGAAGAGATAGCTCGAGGTGTTTCGGTTATTCTTACCTCAAATCCCCGCAATCCTACGGGAAAAGTTGTGAAAAACCCCGAGTTGGCAGAGATCCAAGATCTCTGTCGTGGCCGTGCCACACTAATCATGGATGAGTTTTACGGTGGATATAACTATACTAGCGACTGCGACGGCACTACGATAAGTGCCGCCGACAATGTTGTGGATGTTGACGTGGATGATGTGTTGATCATTGACGGCCTTACTAAGCGGTTCCGTCTCCCCGGATGGCGCATAGCATGGATTATTGGCCCCAAGGTAAGCTACACTCAATATTCGAATGATTCGTGAGTAATAGAGATGTACTCACAAAATATTAGGACTTTATCAAAGCTATTGGTTCCTGTGGGTCTTATCTCGATGGAGGCGCTAACGTGCCGTTCCAACAAGCGGCCATTCCTATGCTAGAGCCGACTCGGGTTATCAATGAGATGAAAGCTATCCAACGCCATTTTAGGGTGAGAAATTCCCTCTATCTTCTGCAGTTTTATTCATCAAAGCTACTCTAACTCCTATCAATAGGACAAGCGTGATTATGTGATCGAACGGCTACGTAACATGGGATTTATCATTGGCACCATACCTGATAGTACCTTCTACCTCTGGCTAGACCTTACAGGATTACCGGAAGCCATTAATGACGGCCTTAACTTTTTTCAAGCCTGCTTAGAAGAGCGAGTCATTGTCGTACCCGGAATCTTCTTTGATCTTAACCCTAGCAAACGTCGTGACCTATTTGACAGTCCTTGCCATCACTTTGTTCGCTTCAGCTATGGTCCAAAATGGGACACCCTTAAAATGGGATTGGATGGAATTGAGAGGGTTGTCAATAAGTGAGTACTCAACTATTATTTCAATGCCAAATTTTGCTTAGAGATTCTGATGTTGACGAACGAATCAGGTTCAAGACAGACGGCATGTTAATGCAGAAATATCAAGAAGAGGCGATTGAGGACTAGGATTCAAAACACAGGCCAACACTATCACCCAGATCATTTGCTTTTCAAGAGGAGCGAAATTGTGGGCGTTTTTATGAAGCTATCGAGATTGCCGTCGGCAAGTCCTGGCTTACTATTTTTGAAAAACTGGCTTTGATCGTTTTCAGTGAAATTTTACGATTGTAACTCTTATGCCATGTACGCGTGAGTAAATGCCTCATCAATAAGGAAACTAGATTTTGGGCTTGGGTAACAGTCAGAGAAAGCTACTTTCGAGGTTTGGATAAAGGCAAACCTGTAGTAGGATTATGGCATAAGTGACGATTAAAGTATGAGAATATAGTCTTAAACCATCAGTTCTTAGCTTTTCAAATGAAGTTTGTAAGAAACGATATGAACTGTGCGCAACGACTTTTAGGACTTGTTCCTGCTGCTTTCTACTGCGACAATTTTTCGCGGCATTTAAAATCTTGATAAAATCACCTGAAAGTTCGACCGATCTCTTCTAGGTTGTAGATAGCATCATCTCCTTTACTTGGCACGACTAGTAATAAGTTTAAATTCAACGGAGTCGATCATAGGGAATCACAGACAAACGCTCTTAGGTATTATCTGGAATCCAAGAAGCTACGTGTTAAGCAGTACGCTATGATGATGAGGGCAAAACGTAGAAATCCAACGCTAGCTTTAAGGATTGGCTATGCTGAACAAGACCGCCAGATACGTCCAATATGAAAGCAACTCTGACCAGCAGTACGCATGAGCCAAATCGGTGTAGAAACAGTTAGCCAGAGGGAACTATAAAACCCCGTAGTCTAACTTAGACACAGTTCCGCTTTATTGCCGGACGTCGGAGGATTTATCATAGCAGCGGAGGGTGGACACGCCTGGGCCCATATGTTTGCCGGGATGTCAGATACCCTGGCCCATGAATACTGAGCAGCTAATGTCGCGTGGATCGGGGGGACATAGTGCGCTGTTCAGCCTCGCTCAGAGCGTCAGCACCGGCCGCCGTTGCCAGGCTGAGTGTCGGCGTCTCTGGGCGCTCCAAGACATGACCTGCAGCTATTGACTTCCATACCCTCGCAGTGCCCGGCTCGAGTCTCAACATCCTCCCGAGAACGAGGACGTCGTATCATGAGGGAGACTCTGCTGCCCGTCCTCAGTCTTGCGTCCTGGTCGGGCGGGGCGAATTAGGACCAGGAGGCCTGCCTTGACAGCTACAGTTGTCTAGGATTGATATGGAGAAGCAGCGACAAAGCGAAGAGCGTTAGAGGGCTAGATAAAGTCTGATTTACCTCTATGTGGCATCCTGTAATGATGATGAGGTAGGAATTGGACAGAATTCTCGTCAACAACTAGTGATCATGGTCTACAGTGATATTACTGAACCTTAAAAGGGACGCGACAAGTGAATAGAAGCCTAATTTATACATTGTTTACATTGATTCTCTTAGACGTAACCTTTCTTTGATTTCCTCATTTACACTTCCATGACGTCCCGGTAATCTGCACGAATATGACCACCACTAGTATTTAGCCACGCACGCTAGTTCTCTCGCAACGCCTTTCATTACGCAGCTTTAGTGATTTAGCGTCCTCTACTCTCTTTGACCGATGTGAGAGGGCCCCGGATAATACCGATATCCGAGATCTTTCGTAATGCCGTTACTCCTAGGAACGGGCACACGAGTAAACCCCGCTAAAGAGTGAATGACACGTTGGGAGCAAGAAGGTTGAACTGCACCAGATATTGTGCAGACACTCCCGTACCCTGAGCCGAGCCGATCATCGCGTGACACTCCTGCCGAAATTCTTCTCTAGCCCCATCACTCGGTAGCTATTTCGTTGCTCTTGATATTGTGTGCTCGTTTCAGTTCTTTCAGTGGAGGACCCTATCAAGTTAGAGGTTGACGCCACTTTCACAATCCGACTATGAACATATGAAATAGAGGCGATGCGCACACCATTATTCCTACTCCACTAATTTATTAGGCTCTTGAACTTTGTTTACTCATCGCTTCGCCACCTAGCTCGCGCCCTCGTCCCGCCTTTGGCACCACTGGTAAATTATCTTTATTTTCACTCGCAACCCAACGCTCCCGTCCGCGTCCGTCCTTGGGGAAAGCTGCCTCACTCAGAAGGCGTAGTGCATGCTCATCTGTATCTAAATTGCGCCCGAGTCCGCGCTGGTCGTTCACTTGCTTGGCACGACGAATCAGCTCCATCTCACTGACAAGATCATCCGGCGAGAGGCCAGCAGCTGGGGGTGCCGATTCGGTCTTGACCACGGAACTTCGCGTGCCCATCTGTGCAAGCAGTGGCGGAAGTTTAGGGATTTGGCGGGTGAGGGCATTCAAATTTGCCATCGAGGTTACGTCATCAAACGCATCAATTCCTAGGCCAGATACAAACGTGCCCCGTGTTGATCTTGTCACATGAGATGGTGGGCGCTCTTGAGGTACCTCATCGGGCGCCGATGAGTCGGCCGCCTCAGCAGACTTATCACCATCTGAGGAATGAATTGAGGCGTCGGGCACCGGGCTGTCGGTCTCGTGGTGGCGCACAATATACGAATGGGCGGCCAAGGCGGCGGCATTATATGTCATAGCCAATTCTTTTTCCGTAAAAAGCTTCTCTACGCTATAGAGTGGCGCTTCAACCTGCGTGGCCAAGAGCTGGTTCTTCTCAGCGAGCCAGGACGGTGCTCCGGCACTTGTATCCCAACGCTGCCATGCTTGTGCAGGAGACTCTTCACGTTCGGGTGCCTTACGTTTTCGTTTCTGATTCTCAACATAAGCTGGTACATCCTCAGCTTCTCGCCGAAGCCTTGTAGCTCGCTTGCCATGCATACCACCTGGACTCGTGGGGTTGGCAATGGCAAATTGACTAGGATGTAAGAGCATAGCTGTAGTGTCGCTAATATCCATTTCTTTCTCCTTGGTAAGCCGTGCTTTCTTGGAAGTGATGCTGTTAATGAGTCGATCACGCAGAGTAGTTCTCAGGGCCTTATGCTCGTTGTGAGCTAGCCTTTGGTAATAGTTGTAAGTGGACTGTATTTCGTTCATTTTTACGGAGATATTTCGCTGATGGCTTATTAGAAATAAAAATCAATGGGGTGTTTAGGAATTTACATGGAGAGTTGCTAGTGCGGCATCTCTTTCCTCCATAGCATCGTTGCACTCTTGAGCGAATTCGGCATAGATGCGGCCGGCTCTATGAGGTGGATTTGGTCCAATTGGTGTCATTTTGTTATCTTGAAGGCTTTCTCGGACCAGTTTGTCAATTTCGGCCGGGTCATTTGGCAGTAGACAGGTATCGTACGGATCAGCCGCACCGATAAGGTTCATATCGATTTGGAGTGTCTGGAGGTGAAGTCTGTAGTAACTGTCTCTGTTGGCAGAAAAACTGTCCTCCATGGTGGAATATGAGTCTCTTAGAAGGGAACGCTTACGGTCCCTTTTCGATACCGTAATGTGAGGCTGAGGGGCAGGTGAATAAGAGTGATGTCTCTCGGATCGACCAGCACCAAGCAGCGGTGATGGTTGAGGTGAAGGACTCATGGATGTATTTTATATAAGAGTCTTTTGGGCCAGTAATCAACTCGTCAAGCGTCATTGATAATTTATCTAAAAGTGGCAGCTTTACCGCGGTTGTGGCGGCGGCGTGAAGGACGGCCAGCTCTTGCACTAGATCCCGGTAAATTTCAGCCAATCGCTGTGTTGGCTAGCCTTAGGCCCTAAGAGACACTTATGCCCTGGTCATTCGAGCAACAGTAATCATATCCCATCTGTCGAGAGGAATGTTCGCCTGAATTCATTCTACATATTGCGGGACAACTTACTCTTGCATAACTGATGACTCGGTTAAATTGCAACACTCTATTTGGCGTCAGTGTAGCCATCTTAGTGAGAAGCTGGACTTTACGGTAGCAGGTGCTGTGGGTGCGGTAGCGTTGCGATATGACCGCGTTTCAACTCCAGACCCTTCTTACATCACCTGGTTTTGACAGGGCGCCCTAGTCGGATAATCTCAAAATTAGTGTCCGCAAATGTGGTGTCGCTTAGAGGAATGTCGGCACCATAGATGCCGCTATTATTGCTGCCGTTCGCATTCCGAAATTTCGAGTCTTCCTTGTTGCAGAGCCTTGAGCCCTGGATAGTGCGGTCACTTGTCTCGTTTGATCATGAGGAGCGACCTTGGCTAGCCTCGGGCTCTCAACGAGTATGGCCTCGCAGCGAGGCTATGAGGATAGGCTAATAATGCCGTTACGCGTACATGCACGACTAAGCCATCGCCTGTTATTGATCCCCGGGCGTTAGTAGCCCCGCCGATTGTCCTACATTCTGAGGGCAATTTTTAAAGAGTGCAGAAAGTTAAGATATCCCTACTGATTGACTCATTAAGTAAAAGAACTTTTGCTTACATCGCCGTCGGAAATTGAAAATGCCAGGCGCAACCGCTAAAAATCATGTTTCATGCTTCAGCATTGTCGAAATGGTTGCCGTCATGTTCCTCACTGTCTAAGAGGAAAAGTTGAAAGCTATCATGGTTGAATAAATTAAATTTAGCTAGTTTCTTTCATATAGAAACTAGAAGTCCTCCGTAGTCATAGACTGAGATAGGAATATAATAAAATCTAATCTAATGGTTGTCATCTTTATTTTTTTGGTGTCGCCTCTAGGCATTTGGAAACATTCCATTGGAACGTCTACCATGACCTCGAAGTGGGAATGGGATGCAATGGTACCCTGGCGCACTTTCAACGCTGCTCTTCCGTAGTGAGTCTGGAGAGCATAAATGGATCTTCTATCCTAGATAAGAGATAGCTCCTAAGAGTGCAGCAAAACTCGGTCATGTTCGAAGCAAACGCGTAGTACAAGATGTCTAACGAATACTTGGACAAACAAGGTTTCCGTAACATGTCTTTGATAAATATTTGAAAATAAAGGCCGAAAGAGTTAATTAGTCGATCACACTTAGGGGTATTATTTTCTGATGAGATCTGGAACAGGAATACTACAAACAATGAAGGACACATCGAAGTCCTACTCAAGGCCCTGAAAATTTGTCATAGATTGAAGATTTAAGGAATCAAAATCTTACGAATGTTGTGTTTTGAAGTCTTAACAACCCAGGTCTGACATCAGACGCGAGGGTCTCGCGGAAGCTATTGATTATAGTATACACCAGAGCAAGTCCTAGTTCAAATTCAGTTAATTACTCTAATATAAAGAAGAAATCAAAGACATTACTCCTTTCTACATCTAACCACGCCTCGCTCAATATCATCGCCTTGGGAGATACGGCCTCAATTACCTGCTCAACAAATCCATCCTTGTGGTTACCAGCATGACATTTCTCAAGTCGCTTGACTGTTTACTGGCGCAACAAATATAAAACTCGAGTGATTATGCCACAGTAGAGTGATATTTTCGAATCCTATCGATGTAATACTGGCTGAAAGTATTGCAACTAGTAAATTAACATGACTACATTACATAAAACTGCTCAAATTAGAATAATATGCATATGCGCCATGAGATATGATTGACTTCTATCATCACTCAATGATATGACTGAGTAATCCCCAATAGATTCTAAGAGGCATCTACTTGCGCTAGGAGCCGACAAAGATGGATTCTTCACCTTCCAGTGGTGCCGGTGTAATCGCTCAGTATGCTCTGCAAATCTAGGATAGCCAATACGAATCCCATCCGAATCGAAGTTGGAAGCAATCTCAAGCAGATCAGAAATCGGCGACTTCTCGTTAGTGTCAAACCTATCATTCTCACGCAAGTCCTCTACTTTAATCACACTACGCCACCGAGACTAAACTACCGTTGAAGGCGTCACTCCAATTGCAATAGATAACTTGCCTCATCAAAAATCGGTCATCCCCCACTATAAAGTTGCGATGCTATGTATATCCACAAGCAGTAAACTAAGTAATAATCTACAAATCTCGGGTCTTTGTGTTAAGGTTATGAGCCCGGTGGCTTCCATATGGATGGGAAAGAAATGAGATAACATTGGGTCTTAGTTAAAATACAACAAAAATTCGATCTGTCTAAAAAATCTTTGAAGCCAAAGGTGTACTAGTCACAGGTGATATCCTACTCGTCAAGGCTCGCGAAATCTAGCATCAAGTCCCAGAGTACCAAAACCAGCCCACACCTGAATTTTTCGTTGGGTGGCTACAAAAGTTCAAAGTCACGGCATCTACAAACAAGTGCGCCTCGGTGAAGTAGTAAGCGTGACGTCTATCGCAATTGAAGTAATGAAGGCTATCTAGACTATCTGCGGTCTTCATGACAAGGAGGATGTCATCAATTCGGATAAGACAGGTCTTTTTTGGCAACGATCTGTCAGTGTTGGGCTCGGCACACACTGCTCCTGACATCAAAAGAGATAAGAGTCATATATCAATTATCATCTATACAAACTTGACAGACAATGACCGTTTCCCTCTGTAGGTTATTGGGCATGCGGTTTGCCCTCGTGCTGTATGAGGAGTGAATATTGAAGTCCGTGTTAAAGATTTAATCTGTCCATTACTCTAAGCTTGATTATGGCCAGTAAGACGAAGAATATCATGACCTGTTACTTAAGATAAAAGGGCAAAAAGGGCATTGATTGGAAGATAGGACCGATATAGTAAGGGGTGATTAGCCCAGAGTAGGTATGAGCATCATGAATGTAGTCGAAAGCATCATCATATTAAGGAGGAGTCAAGTGCGCAATAAATACATGCACGTGTCATATCCCTGTGACTAATTACCAAATCCCGCACTGCCATAAACACCATCAATCTCTGCTATCCATCGCTATCCCGAGTATCAATATGAGTTACCATTATACGGTATGTTTGTACGAGTCGACATCGAGATAGAAATGTTAACAGTCTGAGCCATGAGATGAAAATCTAAAAAGAAGGCCTGGATGAAAACAGATATTATGAAAGAGTGGCTGCCTATCTTTTAACAACACGTAGTAACGAGCCGACTAATGATTTTTCTCACGAACAACTCTACAGCTCACTTAGCAGCTGTGAATATTACTACCGCGTCTCCAAAATTTCGAGTGCATTACCTGCATAAAAACTCTATAAGTGTCTATCTGCTACTTGACCAGGGCAAGGGGACTGTTCTCAACACCTGTCAGCGGTGTCCCCTACGAACCTCCAGCTCTCACTGTAGAGTCTGCAGAGCCGAGATTGAGTAACAAAGTCCTCACTTCGACGAGGATTCCCAATCGCTTTTGCGGTCTGTATCGTCTTCATCTCTAAACACGTTCCCCTATCACCATTATTATGAAGCTAACCACGATCCGATCAGATGTCAGGGTCGGAGCCCTACTCATAACCAATCCTTGATCATGGAGTTAAGCCATCCGATGAGTTTCCGGAGCCTACCCAGTACTGGATACGGAGATGGTGGATTGGATGAAATCGGCCTCAAATGTCACAAAGAATGGAGATGTAGATTGGATATGCGCACCTCATGTGATTCTAGTGTCTAGGCCTCGTCTGGCTGGGGCTGTAGGTTTAATGAGACTTTTTCCCGCGCTCGCAGTTTCCATTGATACTATTTTTGTTTTTTTGGGTAGAAGGTTCCGTGGAAAAGGTGGCCGAATTCCATGGGTAAATACTGAGCTGAATGGCTATTCATCAAGGGGAATACATCAATGATCTTTCAAGTAACAAAAGAGGATAGGAGCACTGTACAAGGTGTGGCCTAGGTCAGAGAGAAGCCCAATATGCTAGATAGTCATAGACTCAAATAGTACATTAAACACACAAACACCCACAATTTTTTTGAAATTCGAATTTTCGAATATCCCTATTTACCCTCTCTCACTCCCTTTCGCGCCCGTCGCATTCATCATAAAATTGTAATCGAGTCACTGGCATTTTCATCATGCCACTTGTTCGAAAAAAGCTCCCCAACTCAATATTGGACAACGCGAGAGCCCGCCCGAGGGCTCCTGCAAAAACACCTGGCCTCGCGCAAAAATTATCAAGCCTATTTGCGAGTGAGGCCTTTATCCCTGGGAAGCCTTCCACACTTCCCGATCAAGTGACGACCGATTCTGACCCGATCAGAACAGAAACAAATGGTCAACAGACCGCGAAACCCGCCGAGCTGGCCCCCGAGGCAAGCAGTTCCAGGAAAGGAAAGGAGGTCTTCAGAGAAAAGACGACCGAACATGCAGAATTGCCTGCCGGGAAAAATGCCGTGCTAGCCTCAAAAGGCGCAGCTTCGACAACAGCGATGGAATATCCCCTGAGCTGCAATCTGTGATGGAGGCCTAAAAGCGGCGTACGACGCAAATTACGGCCCGCCTCGCCATCTGCTCGACTGCAATAAACAGTGTCAAAGCAGCACTTTCGCCTCTCTCGATCGGCGAGAATAAAGAATTCGTAGACGGCATAAAAGTCTACCTACGAGCGGCCATTGGCCAGTTTGTACAATCAGGCCCAGGGACCATTCAACCGATTCTCCCTACTCGCCCCAATAACCCTCTTCCGATGAGGGCTCCAGAAATCAGGGCTCAAAACCCT